CAGGGATGTTACTCAGTGGCATTGCACCTGCCTCGCAAGCACAAGGTCCTGAGTTTGATCCCCAGCACTAAAAATACAAAAAAAAAAAAAAATGGTGCTGGAAAAACTGGCTTTCCACAAGCCAAAGATTAAAACTAGACCCGTATCTTTCACCATTCACTAAAATAAAATCAAAATGGATCAAAGATCTAAATGTCAAAACAGAAACAGTAAATCTGCTGGAAGATAGAATAGGTAGAACTCTTGAAGACATTGGTGTAGGCAAAGATTTTATGAACAAAACCCTGATACCACAGGCAATATCACAAAGAATCAACAACTGGATCTCATCCTATTAAAAAGCTTTTTCAGGGCCGGGGATTTAGCTCAGTGGTGCCGCCACCTGCCTTGCAAGCGCAAGCGGAAGGTCCCCAGTTCCATCCCCCATACCTAAAAAAAAAACCTTTTGCATAGCAAAAGAAACCACCAACAGAGTAAAGAGACAACCCACTGAGTGGGAAAAATTTTTGCCAGCTATAGCTCAAACAAAGGACTAATATCTAGAATATACAAAGAACTAAAATAAAATCAAGACTCTTCAAATTTAAAGACCCAATCCAAAAATGGGCATCTGAAATGAACAGATACTTCTCACATGAAGTAGAAACAGCAAATAAATATCTAAAAAATATTTAACATCACGGTCATTTGAGAGATGCAAATTAAAACAATGTTGGGGGCCAGGGATTTAGCTCAGTGGTTCTGCCACCTACCTCACAAGCACAAGGTCCTGAGTTCAATCCCTGGTGCCTCCCCGAAAAAAAAACGATGCTGAGATTCCATCTCTCTTCAGAAAGAATGGTTATTATCAAGAAATCAATCAACAACAAATGCTGGCAGGGTTGTGGGGAAAAAGGAACCCTTCCCCACTGTTGGTGGGTGTGTAGACTGGTGCAACAACTATGGAAATCAGTGTGGAGATTCCTGAAAAAACTAAACCAAACAAACAAACAAAAAAACTAAAACTAGAGGTTGCATTTGACCCAGCCTTTCCCCTTGGTATCTTCCTGAAAGAATTATCATACCACAGTGATATACGGACACTTGTGTTTATAGTGCCACAGTTTGTAATAGCTAAAATCGTGGAAACAGCCCAAATGCCCATTAACCAATGAATGGATAAAGAAGATGTGGTTTTTTTATACAGTGGAGTAATACTCTGCCATAAAGAAGGATGGACATTTCTAGCTAAATGGATGGACCTTGAGACCATACTCCTAAGTGAAATAAATTGGATATATATGTTTAAATACTGCATTATTTCTCTGGTGTGAGAAAGAGAAAGTGTAAATAAAGACCAAAATATATAACAGATATTGGGAAATGGGAAGAAAATGTTCAAATGAGAGCAGAAACAAGGGAAGGAGGAAGGGAAAGGAAAGAAGGGAAAAGAAAAAAAGAGAATAGAAGGAAAAACGGAAACAAAGCTTTTGTAAATAAGGAGGGGAAAGAGGGTTGAAGGGAGAGAGGAAGCGGGGAAAAAGCAGCAAGATCTATCATGCACAGGTGTAAATTCTGTGTGATGAATGTCACATTATGCATATCTAAAATGTACCAATAAATAAAAGAGAGAGAAAAAGAGAAAAATATATTAAAAAATAAAAACAAAAATAACCCCCCCCCCAAAAAAAACCCTGTGGGGATAGGACGTTTGGATAAAATCAGTTGTTTCTAAAAAAGTTTTATTTTTTGATACTGAAGATTCAACCTAGTACCTTTTTACTGAGGTACTTTTCCAGCCCCTTTTAGATAGGGTCTCACAAGGCTGCTAAGTAGCCCGGGCTGGGCTCAAACTTGCAATCCTCCTGCCTCAGTCTCCAGAGTGCTGGAATCACAGGTGTATACCAGCATGCTTTTATGTTACTCATTTGGTTGCCCTGAATGATGGTTCATTGATTGCGTCAATTTGAATAAGAGAAGCTAAACAAAATTGGCTCACCAATTCCAAACCCTAGGGTGTGGAGACCCACCCTAGGACGGCTTACTGCCTGGATAGTTTAAAGAGGAAATGAAGAAGGACAGATCTGCTTCTGATTCTTTAGAGGCGCTCCAGTCTTCCCCTTCACCTTGGATGTCATCTCCTGGCATCCAGCGTAGATTCTTCAGCTTCTGGCACAGGCTCTTCAGCCTTCCATCACAGACCCATCGGCCTCCTGGTATGGACTCGCACAGGACACCACAGTGAGCTCCAGACCTTCAGGTGGATCCTTCAGTCAAATGTGTGCAGGAAGACCCTCTGGACTCTTCCACACCTGACTCTGTGGGTGGCCATTATAAGCCAATCTTGTAAATTCTTATGTATTTGTATATCTTGTGTTATACTGTTTCTCTAGTAAACACTGACTGATACATCCTGTACGGTTCCTGTGCTGACCAAGGAAGCAAAACCAACAGACTGTGCTTGTCAACTTGCATACTCTACTCTAGATCAAGCAGATGTATGACTGATTGCCTCCTGTCCAGGAGAAGATGCCACCATGGTCAGGAGAGATGAAATAGCTGGTGATCCACTGGCCTGCCATCCAGACCCGGCACACAGCACTTCCAGATTTGTCCACACTCACTGAGCAAGAGGGTTTAGAGTTAACTGCAGGCAGTCCCTCAGACATATATGCTAAACTAAAAAGATCCAGACCAAGCCCAGAACCCCAGGGCAGGAGGCCCACAGAGGGAAGCCATCTGAGATCCCTGCTAACTTCCCTTCCAGACTAATGTCTGCCTTAACACTGTCAATTCCTTGTATCCAGCAGCAGACATGCAGGTGGGGGAGGGGAGTGGTCACATGTGCCCTTTAGGACTAACTTCCATGTGTTCCCTGACCCTCATGATGCTTCTCAGCCTGGAACACCTAGGTCAGCTCCAATTCACTGGCCTGAGTTCTGCTAGGCCTAATGGGAGAACTTCAGAAACCTGGCTCTTTAATGGCTGCGATATTTCTTTTCCTGGCAAAGTAACTGCTGAGATTCATTTGGTCCTGTGAGTTTGATCACTCTGCTTGGAGTGACCTTCCTCACAGCCCTAGTCTCCTGGTGCCTCAGAGTAATTATCTGTTTATTACCACAGCCACCCAACTCCCAAAGTGTGAGATCCACAGGTTCCATGATGAGGTAGCCCATGTTTCATGCTCAGGTCCTGAAAACACAGGGGTGGGATTGTAGAGTTTAGCGAATGGTTAAAAACCTACATATGATGTCAGAAGTGGCAGCATAAGTCTGTAATACCAGCCCTCTGGGAGGCTAAAACAAGAAGACTGAAAGTTCAAGCCCAGCATGGGCAAGTTTGTGACTAAGTGAGATCCTGCCTCAAAATAAAAATAGGGATGCACATGTAGCTCAGTGCAAAGGCCCTGGGTTCAATCTCCAATACCAAAAAAACAACAACAACAAGCTTCCTGTTTTCAGGTCCAACCACAGGCATTTACGAAGGATATACCTGGCAGGCCTCCCAGGGAGGACTGCTTCCTACACCAGACTTATGCACAGCCACTGTCCACGGGAACCACAGACAACATCCTGACCTAATCGCCTGCACTCCTAGCCCAGGTACCTTTCCTCCTAGTCTCTCTGTGAAGCATTCCTCAGTGCTGAGGTTGAGACCTGCTCATGGGGTACGAGAGACTCTGATGACACTTTTCGTCACTCTACTCAGTACCCAGATTCTTCTCTGTCCCTTCCTCCATAGCCCAGGGCCTATCTGCTAGTGCTTTCCACTCAGAGCTTCCTCAGCAATAACAGAATGACCCCCATGTCTGTGCTGATGGACCTGACCCTTGACTCATATGCCATTCTTGGTGACTTTGGCCCTTAGATTACACAAAGTAAGTCTGTAAGAAATAGTTCTGGGAAATATGTTTATGAATTACAGGGTTACCTTTTAGGACTTGTATCACTACATGACCTAAACAGCTATCAAACTGTTTCCTTTAGATGTAATTATCAGGGCATGTTTGCTTGTCCTGAATAGTTGGTCTGCTTTTCCCTTTTGACAAAGTAAACTGTGTCACTATTCCTGTTTCCCTTTCTGCTGGACCTTCTGGAAACACCTGAGAAAAGCTTGCAACTCAACTCTGACAATGCAGCATCTTAGTCATATTTACCTATGTTTTGTATTGTATGCCTCTATAAAATACTTTGTGCTCCCTTTGACATCTTCTTCCCAAAGGTTATACTTTCTCTTATTATGATTTAAACACAGTTAGACCTTTCTTGTTTGTTGTAGAGATTCCAGTAAGCCTCATCACAGTCACTAAAATAAAATAAAATTTTAAAACCCTGCCAGAGGGTAAACAACCCACCTGTGACTCAATCATGTCTACTGTTCTTGGGAAACCTGCTAGTTTGTGCGTTCTGTCTGTCCCGACTCAGCAGAGAGCCCTCTGGCCAAAGGTCTGGAAACTAAGATCCGTTCTCATTCTTGAAGCCTTTTTTCACTTGCCACATATGAACTGTCTTCTTCCTGAGAGCAAGGACCTGTGGATGCAGCAGATAGGTTATTTTAGATGATGTTATGCATTTAGGAACCTAAACCTTGTTTTCCTTTTTCTGGTAACTCAGATCATTTAAAGAGTAGATGTTTGGTAGACGCAAATAAGGCCTATTGGGTAAGAAAGAGGAAGGAACGTGACATGTCTCACTGAGGCTGGTCATCACTGGACCACAGTCCCGGCTTCTACCCACAAATGCCACATTGAAGCTACTTACCTCACTAGTTCAAGCAAACACACCTGGTGAGTGCACCACTGCACTGAACCGCTCTGCAGAGTCATCAAGAAACTCTGGAAATACAACTCATTCTTTCTGTAACAATGATTCCTGGAGGCAGAAAATTATTAATTAATTTAAATGAAATCACTGGCATGCACGCTCTAAGTAATATATAACTCATTCCTAGGCAGGATGGTAAACATTAAATGATTATTAGATCGAGATGATTAATAAGCATGCTGGGTTGGCTCCCTACCCCCAAATCAGCCCTGGAACAAAAGGAAAACATGGATCAGAAAAACAAGTTGGATGAAAAAGGAAAGAGAATCCTTGGGGAGACTGCAAGGTGTGATGAAGTTTATGTTGGGTCTGAGGCTGAGTAGGCCCTAGCTTCAGCCTATAGCAGGTGGCGTGCAGAGGGGACTATAAGACAGAGGGCTGAGGGGCCGGGGATTTAGCTCAGTGGCACCGTGCCTGCCTTGCAAGCACAAGGTCCTGAGTTCCATCTCCGGTACCAGAAAAAAAAAAAAGACAGAGGGCTAAGAAAATCTTTTATTTTGCTTCTCAGCTCACAATGGGACACATGCTGCCTGCACTTTCCCCAAGAAATCAATGCTAATAGCTAGACATGATGGCACACACCTGTAACCCTAGCTACTCAGGAGGCTCAAGCAAGAGGATTGCAAGTTCAAGGCAAGCCTGGACAAGGTGGTGAGATCCTGTCTGAAAGCAAAAATAAAAAGCCTGGGGATGTAACTCAGTGGTAGGATGCCTACTTAGCATGTGTGCCCCCGGGTTCCGACTTCAATACTGAAAAAAGAAAAAAGAAAAAAGAGAAAACAAAATCAGCACTGTAGCCCAGGCCATGTTCCCAAGGAGCACTTCGGGTAGAACAACCACAATCCTTGCTGAGTTAAGGAGCCGAGAAACAGCAAGAGTTCTATGGCTGCCTTTGGGCCTGACCTTGTCCCCACCTCCAATGTCCTAGGGCTAGTCAGCGGCCATCCCAGGAAACCCGTCCACCACCCGCTTCTCTCCAAGGACTTCCCACCCCAATCAGACAAGTCACCTAGAAGGGTGGCAGGACACAGGGAGTTTCCATGTTCCTTACAGTCTGCATTGTGAGCCCTGGGTCCAATCCCCAGAAGTTTCAAAGATGAAGGTCTACCCTTTAGCCTTTTGCTCCCTCCCACAGTGCACAATACCAGAGCACATGAGAGGGGAGCTAACACCCCCCAAGGTATGTGAGTTCAGAGGTCTTTAAGTGCAAAAGCACATTAAAAATAAGAAAACCCTAATTTTCCCTCTTGCAAAAAAGAGACTCACCTCACTGCTTTTCAAAATTCATCTACTTTACACACTTACAACTGTAAATTCTTTCTCTGTCCCTTGAGACATAATTAGATTTTTTTCTAAAGCTAAATAAGTAAGCCCTTTGGCAGTTTAACAACCAGGCCCAATTTTCTTCTCAAGAATCTGGGACCGTCTCTGGCTCCCTATCTCTCAGATTCTGTCAGAAGACGGGAGCCTAACTCCAGAGGTGCCTTGCTCCAACTTATAAAGTACCTGGTCCCAAAGATGAGAAGCTTACTTTTCCTCTGGGTAAGGATCATTAGCAGTCAGTCAGTCACTCCAATTAGCTGGTGAATTTAAGATGAGCTGTGTGTGATGAGTGCTGTTCAGTCCTCTTCCTTGAAGCCCTCTTACTGTTTTTCTTTTTTTTTTTGGTACCGGGAATCGAGCCTGGGACCTTGTGCTTGCGAGGCAGGTGGCGGAACCACTGAGCTACATCTCCGGCCTCTTACTGTTTCTCTTGAGAACATATGTGCAGTGGTGTCTCTGCCTGGTTACAGAAAAAGGCCAGGCAACAATGTGAGTATGGCTATTCAACAGAAGTCACCCTGTGAGAGGCTTGCCTAAGCTGCACGTGACCAAACCCATCCAGATCCGCCTCCAGACCCACAACTCGGCCCTCCAGCTCCACACCCCTAGTCCTCTCCAAGTCTTTAAACATAACCAGCCCTTCACAAACCTCCAGACCCATAAGCTCCACTTCACCCACCTTATGTGCCCTTATCATCCTCACAGAACCACAATTATTGACTACACAGGTTGCTGGACTCTCCCCAACAGGCCACCCCTCCAGGGCCTTCAAGGAAACACACTATGGGTTCCCCAAAGACTCATGCAGCAGAGGCCGCAGCCTCTGACTCTCAGTGCCTCTACAATGACTATCCTCCAGAAATATTCAACCACAGACTCCACAGACCTGCACAGTATGAGCCCCCATACCACTTAGCGCAGATATCCAGAGGTCACTGACTTCCAACTCCACAATCGCTCACAGTCAGTGGCAAACAAGCCACTGAACTCTTCAGGCTTCCTGCTCACCAACACCCACAGGACCCCCAATTTCTCACCATACTCACCCTACACCATCATATACACCTATGGACATGCCAGTTGTTCATCCCATGAGGTACTCAAACAGCAAACCCTGCAAACCCTACAATCATTTCTCCTCACAGACCCTCATTACTTATCCAATTACTCTCCAGTGCTCTGGGCACTAATGTAAACATGCTCCTCTTATCACTCTTCTACAACCCCAAATAACTCAACCCAACCACAAGATGTAAGTAAATGCAATTCAAAGTTTTTCCACACCCCATACCCCAATCAGTGATGCCACAGGACCCTTCATTCCTGGCCCTGCATGGGATCCCCAGCCACAGAGTGCCCAGGGCCAACAAACACTCACCACTATTATCAGCCATTCCTAAATCACAGCAGGCTGTCAGTCATTCAGTCCCATGGCAGCTACAGCGTCATTCCTACAGGACCAATCCCCAGATACTCCCATCACCAGCTTCCCCTAGCCCTCATTTAATACACTCCACAAGGGCTGGGGATTTAGCTCAGTGGTGCCACCGCCTGCCTCACAAGCACAAGGTCCTGAAGTTTAATCCCTGTTACCAAAAAAATAAATAAATAAATAAACTCCACAAGTTCTGGGCATGGTGGTGCACACCTGTAATCCTAGCACTGAGGAGGCTGAGGCAAGAGGATTGCTAAGGTATCAAGGCCAGCCTGGTGTACACAGTGAGTTCAAGGCCAGTCTGAACTACATAGCAATACTGTCTCAAAAAAAAAAAAAGAAAAAAAAAAAAAGAATTCCCCCAAACAATCTCCATAGACTATCCCCTGATTAGAACTCAGTCACTGCAATCCCTAAACACTGAGTCCCAAAAGGTTCCCAAAGAATTCCAATACTTCTCTCCTACAGGTAACCACACATCTTAACAGGTCCCCCAGTCAAGGCTCTTACATAGCCCCTCATCACTGACATCTTCAGTCTTCCTATCTCCATTGCCACAGACCATTTAAATTAGCCTACATACCCCAAGCGATCCCCAATGCCTTATCCCACAGGGCCCTCAAGAATTCACAAGCATATGGAGCCCTCTTCTCTAATCCACTCCATGATAACCTACCATTCTCTGACAACCCCCACAGGCTCTCTTAACCCTTTGAAAGGGCCTCCAGCCCAGCACAAACACTGGTACCCCAAGCCCTTTCAGCGACTCCAATTACTAACCCCACTGACCTCTCACAATTCCATCAGACCAAACCATTAATTTACATCCTGGTACAGTGCCCCAATCTGAGATGTATCAATTACAAGACCCCCAAACAGGCCTAGAGAAGAACCCCAACACCACTCAGCCTCCCACTCCACGGAAACAGCAGCCATTTAACTGGCCAAGTAAATCCAGACTAAGAAAATATTTAATTCCAAAGGATTATTGAGGGTGAGGAGGGCGGGAGAAGGGACCCTTGCCACAGGAGGAGGGGAGCTACAGCAATAGGGAACACACTAAGGCCCTCAAAAGTAGGTGCAAGCACTTCTGCAAGACAGAAAGGGTTTTTATATTATGGGAAAAAGCAAGATCAGAAAGAAGCAGGGATGGGGAAGAGGGATAAGGAGTGGGGTGACCAGAGACTGAATCAAAGAATATCTCTGCCCTTTCTCATGAGAAACTGTACAAGGACCAAGGTTTAAGGAACTACAGGAAGTAAAGAAACTTAACCAAGTCTTGGTTAACAAGTTTTTGTTGTTGTTGTTGTTGTTGTTGATGGGACGAATGAGTGGGCACAAGCTGCTCAATTAATCACCGATAAGGTAAAGACTGAAACTGCACGGGACTTGTTTCGGGGGTCTGTTACAGGGAAACGAGGGCACCCCCGAGCTTATCTATGTCATATGGGGGAGGACAGTGTCTTGCAGTGAGCCTTTTCCTGGAACACAGGGTTATGGAGACATCCCCATCAATGACCACCAGACTCCAGATTATCCTACAAATAAATCCCCAATTTACTTGTACACACACACTCGCCCCGCTCTCTAGAAAGCGCTATCCTGCAAATCTACAAACCTCCCCCAAAGGGCCCGCCCAGATCGCGAATTCCCTCGCCTAGCCTCGGAACCTCTCAGCCTGTCCTGAGGCTGGACCGCTAGTTTTCAGTCGCTCCATGATCCGACTCTACACCGTCCCCTCGTAGACCAACGCGTAGTCCACCTCTGCCACAGCCATCCTAGACGTCCCTCAGCTACCACAGTCAAGTGGTCGGACCCCGCCCCCGCCTAGCCCCCACCGCCCAGGACCGACGGCGCATGCGCTGGGTCCTGCCCCAGTGCCTTTACCCACCCAGTCTGCAGGGGGTCGCCGCCTGACCGGAGAGGATACTAAGGCCACACCCTACCTCTCTTCCCGCACCCGCGCCACTAGTTCTTACCGTGGACCTCACAGCCCCCAGACAGATAAGGCCCAACAGCGGAAGTGGCTGCGCCGAAATACATTTCCCAGAGGGCCGCTCGCGCTGGAACTGCGTTTCCCAGAGGACACTGCGGCGACCCGGATGACGTAAGAGGTTTTGGCGCTGCTGAAGGGAGCGGAATTGAGAGTGCGTCAAAGGTGGGACCGTGCTGCGCTGCTTCCTTTTGAATTTACCTAAATTTTAGAACAGCCCAATAGTAGTGAGCAAAAAGAATGGAAATAAGTGAAATGAAGATATAGGGGGAAATAAAAGATGGCTATGAGAAGAGAAAAAAAAATTACTGGATAGAAAACTAAACGTTAAGGAATTAAAGGAAAAAGCTAAACTTGATGAGTCCAGTAATAAAAAACCAAAAACATACTAAATTTTTATCAAAAAATGTACAGCAGGAAAAATACACACAGTTGATAACCAGGATGGAAATAACCATAAAGACAAACTTTGTGAAGTAATATTTTGCTCAATTCTGTGCTAACAAATTTGAAACCACATAAAGTAGGTAATTTTCTGTATTAGAAGGACGTTCCACTTTATTTATTTATTTAGTACTGCGGATCGAACTCAGGACCTCAGGCTTGCGAGGCAGGCGCCTTGCCACTGAGCTAAATCCCTGGCCCTAAAGTAGGTAATTTAAAGAAACAGTTCACTAACTTAAGATCTTTTTAGACCTAAAGCTATTGAAAAATTTAAGAACATTTTTATTTCCAGGCACATAGGTATGTTTAAATTGGTGAATCTGCTACACTTTCAAAGAATATAGTATAATTCTTTTTTAAAAATCCAAACAGGGGCCAGGGATTTAGCTCAGTGGCGCAGCACCTGCCTCACAAGCGCAAGGTCTTGAGTTCAATCCCTGGTATTAAAAAAAAAAAATCCAAACACTCTGAGGCTAAGGCAAGAGGATCACAAGTTGAATTCAGCTTATGCAATTTTGCAATTTCAGGAAACACTGTCGCCAAATGAAAAAGATTGGAAACGTAGCTCAGTGTGAAAGTCCTGGTTTCAGTCCTCAGCACTGAAAACCAAAGAACACTTCAGAAAAATCTAAACAGAAAGAGCACCTTGGAGCTGGAAGTGTAACTCAGTGGTAGACCCCAGAGGGATGAGGAGAGTTAGGATGCCCTCTCTTAACAAAAAGCTAGCAAATTATGCCCTAACTAAACGTAGTATTTTTAAAAAACACTATAAAGCAATCACAGTTATCTTGTGTGAAAAGAGAATCAAGCAATACCTTTAAAAATATGCAACAAAATAGGAGACATAATTCACCATATCAATAGATTACACGGAGAACATGAAACTTCAGTGCTGATCCAAACCTGCAATCCCAGAACTCAGGAGTCTGAGGCAGAAGGATCTCAAGTTTGAGGCCAACCTGGGCTATATAGTGAAAGCCTGTCTCAAAAAAAGGAGAATCTTTATCTCAATTGAGATAGACCAGAAACAACCTGAATTCCTTTTTTCTGGAATACCTGGAAGGGAGTATTGTTCAACTGACATCTGTCACACCCCTCCCTTTTGCTTTCTTTCATTCCTTATCAGCTCCCTGAGGATGGACTGTGACTACTTGCCTCTGTGTCCTCCCACCATCCCTGAGGTTATTTTGTGGCTGATCTCCAGCTGCAAGGCAGGAGGCCTGGCTGGGCTGACAGTGGCCCTGCCCCTCCCCTGCTCCTGCTGCCTCTCTGAAGAGGTGGCAAGGAAATTGCCCTTAGCGAGCAGGGAAGAGTCCAAGCCTATTATTAATATCCTCAAGATCCCCAAACCCCAGTAAGCTGTGATTATTATAACCTCCAAGGGGGTTGCAGTCCCAATTTTAGCCCAGCCATTTTTAGTACATGTATTGCCAAATTGAGCACTAGCACAGCCATTTTTTGTAGAGATGTGGCAGCTGTCAAGCAACTTCTTCTCCAGATGTTCCCCACACTGTTCCTTGGCAGCTGCCCTGTTGACTGTGGCTGTCCTGAATCCCCCACACTGACTCCAGGAAATGTCTAACAGCAGGCTTGAATTTGAACCAAATATCAATATTGAATTTGGATCAGTCCATAGGACCAAATTAGTAGGCCTAAATTAAGACAAATTTGGACCAGTCAGCAGGCTCAAATTTGGACCAATCTCAAGCCTGCTTGTGTAATATAAACAGCATTCCTCTTACACTTCTCTGGTTTAGGAGGGCTCCTTCCCATATGCTAATATCATTCTTCCACGTTGCAGCACAGGCCCAAACATACAAAGTTTTGTTTGGTAGTTCTATAAGTTTATTCATGAGTTCCTAGGTTATGTGGGCTTGGAAGATTCTGTAAATCTATCCCAAGTAATGTGGACAGAGTAGGTTGCTGCCCTGAGTTCAATACCCAGTAACTGAGGGAAAACAAGCTATAAACACTCAGGGCTGTTAACACTGAGGAGTTCCAGGGGCCAGCAGCAAAAATCAGCTGAGATTGGCAACACCATCCAGTGGCAGCAATTAGCAGCCTAGGCCCAGTGCCATAATCATACAGGATAAATATAACTTCTGACCTGGGAGAAGTCAAATGTACCGACTTCATGGTCCCACAACATTGAGGAATGAAGTTCTGAACCAAAGGAAGAAGTTAGGAGAGTTTTATTGGAAATAAGGGAGAGAAGAATAGCTCCTGAATTTCCAGGAGGTATCTTGAGTGGGTTGGCCACTGAAGCCCTTTGTCAGGGGTAATTTATACTGAAAAGTCATAATGTGAGTACAGTGTGGGTCAAACTACAATCAACATATAGGATTACAAGTGTTAAATGCTTAACTAATATTGACCCAATAGGGAAATGAGTCACATAGCAAGGGTACATGGAAAGAACAAAGACATTTTTGGGAAGGGATGGGTCTGTATGCTCTCATACGTGAGTGACTGATGCCTATCTGGACTTACTGGACCAGGTGGTGCTAATAACAATATAATCTTAAGTTATTGTTTATCCTTTACGAAGGCATGTGGGCCTGGCCATTCCATCTTTTTCTTGAGGTCTGGCCTTCTTCAGATGTACCTCTAGCCATAATTTTGATGTCTTTATTTTTCACTGACTTTCTTGAGAGCCCAATCCCTTCTGACTGTATATTTGATAAAGAAATAATGCACAACAGGGCAGGCCTTTGTCTGCCCCCCCAACCCAGGTTTTTGCCATGAAATATTCTGTTCAAGCAATGTAACTGTTTGAGCTGCACGATGTTCCTACTTGATTTTTTTTTAATTTTTTATTTTATTTTATTTTTTTCCCCTACCTGATATTTTAAGATGTTTTGTTAACTGTGCCCTTCTACTTGTGTGCTGGTACTTGCTCAGTATGTGGCCCCACCCCCCTAATCAGTAGATCTCTATATAAGGTTGCTTCCATTCCTATTCGAGGCTCAGACTTCAGTGTATGAAGTCCTCTAAGCCTGCCAGCATAATAAAAGACTTGGTTCCCTCTGCCTCTCTGAGTGCTGCACTTGGTCTCTTGTCCTCCAGAGACCTTCAGATAGCTGTTAACACTTGGCTGTAACCCTTAGCTGTCACACTTCATTGTAACATTTGGTTCCCTGGCTGGGAAACTGACTCCACCGGCCTCTTGAGCCACCAGATCAAAGCTGGGGAGCAGCTGACAGAGCCCTTTCTGGGAGAACAAGGTGCCATGCCCCTGCCCAATTGGTGGGACCACCTTCAATGGGTGAGTGCACCCACCGGTTGCATTCATGCCTCTAGCCCAGATTTAGAGGAGAGGTGGACTGGTTTTCTGTTGGGACTTCGGGACAAGTTAATACCCTGGGGTCCATCCCAAGTCAGGCCCATCACTTTGAACTGAAGGGGAGACAGATCATCTCCCATGGTCTCAGAATGGAGACCTCAGTTAAGATTCTTTTCCCTGTGGGGGATATTTAAACTGAATGATTATCTGATTGTGTGAGTGATTGCAACCAGTTCGTGGCTTGGAAGGACCAGTCTGTGTAGCTCCACAGCTTCAGCTACAGAGTCTGGGAGGGCCCTAACCTGCAGTTCTGTGGTGACATCATCCTGCATAAGGGTGACTCTCTTCCCATAATAGAAGGCTGACCAGCCCCTGAATTACAGGTGCATCTTAGCCAAGATGTGCCTAAGCTCCTGGTAGGGACATATCTAGGCAGGTGCTTGAGTGGTCCCCTTTGGGGGACTCCCTCGACATGTCTGTTGCAGCTCCATTTAGGGGACACCACATACACCAAGGGAAACACACCTAGTAAGCCCACTGTGTTAGACTGCATGACTAAAAGTTTTAAGAAGGGATTTAGTTGGGAATATGGAGTTAAACTGCAACCTGCAAGGTTGTGAACCCTCTGTGAAATGAATTGGCCCCAGTTCAATATAGGGTGGTCCTCTGAAGGAACTCGAAATATCCAGACAGTGCGTGCAGTATGGAGAGTTGTCACTGATAAGCTAGGCCACCCCAACCAGTTCCTTTATATTGACTCCTGGGTAGAGGTTGATCACACTGTTCTGCTGTCAGATTCTGCATGAATAGGAAGGGACGGATTCAGGCTTTTGTGGCCCAAGAGCCAAGCCCAAGACCAGAAAGCCAGGATGATTTGTCAGGGTGACTTGGAAGAAGTCCTTCCCTCTACTGTATGTTCTTTTTGGGGGGGGGTACTGGGGATCAAACTTGGGTCCTTGTGCTTGTGTAGCAGGCATTGAAACCACTGAGCTAAATCCCCAGCCCCTCTACAGTATGTTCTTGATCCCCCTTCAGCGCCTTCCCTACCAGTCTTGCCTTACAGTCTGCCACCATCCAACTCTCTGGCACTCTCAGATCTGCC